AAGATCGATCGAACTAACCAGTTTGTTGGCCATTTTCACGATGATGAGTATGCACGTGGTGGCGGTGCATGGATGCCAGATGGTGAACATATTCAGCCACACATCCACCTTGTGCACAAATGATGACAAAGGCCAAGTATGTAAAGTGCAAGTGTCTGAAGTGCTCAAGCTGAACCCGTTCAAAAGGGAAGCCTGTTTCAAGCTAATGCAAAATGAAACAACAATCCACCAAATAAGAGCTTCCTGGAAGAACTTACTTCTCACTTGCGAAAAGGTCACGGACTATTTCACTCGCGATACAAGCTACGAGATCATAGACAGTAAACGCTGTCCGCATGTAGGGTCGTGTGTGGGAAGTAAGTGCGCTCGGATAAACAGTACAAGTCTCATACCCGAACTCGCTGTGGGGAACGGGTATCCAGGAAACACGTACTGCGTTGAATCCTGTGGCGGCCCGGGATGTGATTGTTTTTACTGGAGCTCCGGATGCCTCTTCTATCGGATTTACTTGAAGCCTGTCTCTTCAACAGTGTTTGAGGTCTTTCACTGTAATCGATGGGCACAGACAGTGGCCATTGATTTCACCCATTTCGACGCCCAAACTGGGAAGACAAACGAGTTCACAGCTCTAATGCTCCCTAACGTACCAATCCGATGGGAAAGCTTTTCTCTCACACTCAGCTCTGTAAGTATGGCCCCAATACCTTTGCTCCAGTCTTCATTCATATCGAATGGCAATAACACAGCTCTCTGGGATAATCAAGTAAAGCCCGCTCTACGCTGTCCCACAAGTAAAGCCGCAAGAACACTACGGTGTGAAATATTTGAGCAGTGTACGTGTAATCCCGCCGAAACAAAGGCCAATTGTAATTGCCTGAATGTGCCGATACTAAAGCAGTTCGAGGACTTGCAACGACGAATGCCCGTAATTTTACCATCAATAACATTTGAGGAATCAATCCATGGCGTCAAAGCAAGCGTTCAGAACATGCTTTCGACAGAAATAATCGTAACTCTACAAGAAGATTTACGCACTAACCTCGTCGTAGACAACGACATATGTACGGTAGAAAACACGCAATTAATAGGATGCTATAATTGCGAAAAGGGAGCCCACGCAAAAATCAAGTGTTTCGCCTCTAGGTCAAGCAAAGCAGAGATCATCTGTGAAGGAACAAGTTTCACGGCTCCGTGCGGCAAACGGGGGATTGAGTCAGTCATGAGAATTAGTCCTACTCAAGCGATGGTCCGCATGAAGTGTTCGGTCTCATGCGGAGAGGTGGTTACCACGTTTGAAGTTGGAGGAATCCTCAAATATACAGCAACTTTCGAAACAGTGCTGTACAAGTGGCTTACGAGCAACAGCAAAAGCGCTCCAGCGGAAATCCAGTGGCCCGACTTCTATCATCTATTTGACGTACTCAGCCAATGGTATAAAACGGTACTCATAGCAGGAATCACGCTCATCGCTATGCTAGGAATAACCTATGCGCTAATTTCGACCTGCGGCCTCAGATGCGTCGTCATTCTAGCAAAGCTGATAATCAAACCAATACGAACATTCTACAAACTGGCGTGGAGGTTATGCTTTGCGATCATGCGCAGTCTTATGACAAAGTCCAGAAGCAAAATTGCGACAAAACTAAAACTCTGAGAACTGCAACCAAGAGAAAAAAAAAGAAAAAAAAAGA